TGTAACCTGAAGCATCTGTAACCCGAGGTTACACTGTATAGCCAATGTGCATGGACGATGGGAGCCGGGAGTCAGGCTTAGCCGCAGGCCCACAGAATTGTGGAGTTGGAAGGGACCCTGAGGGTCATCTAGTCCAACCCCCTGCAATGCAGGAATCTAGGGCTCGAAGCCACGACCCTGAGACTAAAAATCCCATGCTCTGCGGACTGAGCTATCATTTGCCATTTAGGTTCTGCTTTAAAATTTAAATAAATAGATGAAACCCACCTGTGTCTTGGCTCCGTATCTCCCCACCGGTGGGATGGAGGGGGGGTGGATACCAGGCGGTGGCGTCGTGGCCTGAGCGGTCCTCCGCAGCGCCCCCTAGAGCCGGAGCGGCGCAGCGGCCCTTTCCCCCCGGCGCGGGGCTCGCTCACAGGGCTTGCTCTCGGAAGAAGCCCCAGGGCTCGCGCAAGGAGTGTCTCCCGGGCTGGCCGCCCGCCGTGCTGGCCACGGAGTTCTTGAGCTGCTTGATGACCCCGAAGAGCAGCAGGAAGAGCAGGAAGAGCAAGAGGAAGAAAAGCGCCAGGTAGAGGAGCAAGTTGAATTCCCACTCCATGCTGCTGCTGCCGCTGCTGCTCCTCGCCTACAGGTTCCCATCAGTCACTAACTGCCCTGCTCCGGACTCCGGGGAGGCGGCGTGTGTGTCTGCGTTTGTTTGTGTGTTTTGGTGGCGGGATGGGGACATTCAGCCGCCCTGGCAAGCGCCGTCGCCTCGCCGATTCGCTGCTCCTGGCCACATCATGTCCCTTGGCAAGGTCGGGACCGTCCGAAGAAGAATCCGGTCTGGGTCCGGGGGCAGCGGCGGCTGCTCGGAAGGGAATTCCCCCGGGAGAGAGCGAGAGAGCGGCCGGTTTCCACCGCCGCCCCGACAGCAGAAGCCAAAGCAAGCAGGCGAACGAGGAACATCAGACTTGGAGGCGAGAGGAATCTCGGAGTCTCCAAAACGGTGGCGCGAAGAGCTGCCCGGGGAAGAGAGAGGGAAGGAGGGGAGCAGGGCGACCTCTAGGAAGGGAGGGAGGGAGGGAGGGAAGCTGGTTCCTGAATGAAGTGCAAAGGAACAAAAGGCCTGAGCCCCGGGAACTAACAGAGCCAAGGGAGGGTGACGATTTCTGCCTCCGAATGAGGCCGTTTCAATTAGAGGGAGAAAAGAAATCATCGCGCCATTGTTGTCCCTGGCCTGGTCTGCGTCGAAGGTGGCGCTGAAGTTTTTGCCCACCGGATAAACTCGTCTGGGGAAGGAAGAAAAGTCATCCCAACATATACAGCTGCAGAGCTCGCGTTGCATAGCACTGCAAGGGGAGGAACAGGGTGTGCGTCCTTGAGATCAGGCAGCACACTCTTCATGACCTTTTGGGAATCTTGCAGCCCAGGGCTGTTCATGGGCGTAGTCCGGGGGGGGGGGGCAGGTGCCCTCCAATCAAGTAAATGAATAATAATACTTAACTAACTTACCAATTAAGGGATGCAGGTGGCGCTGTGGGTTAAACCACAGAGCCTAGGACTTGCCGATCAGAAGGTCGGCTGTTCGAATCCCCGCGACGGGGTGAGCTCCTGTTGTTTGGTCCCAGCTTCTGCCAACCTAGCAGTTTGAAAGCACGTCAAAGGGCAAGTAGATAAATAGGTACCGCTCCAGCGGGAAGGTAAACAGCGTTTCCGTGCGCTGCTCTGGTTCGCCAGAGGTTGCTTAGTCATGCTGGCCACATGACCCGGAAGCTGTACGCCGGCTCCCTCGGCCAATAAAGCGAGATGAGCGCCACAACCCCAGAGTTGGTCACAACTGGACCTAATGGTCAGGCGTCCCTTTAACTTACCAATTGGGTCATAGATAACTCGGTTCTGCCCCATCCCTCACATAAAGCCTTTCCCCCCCCCCCCCCCGGCAATAAATCCTGGCTATGCCCATGGTCCTGTTTGATTTCACAAGGAAGCTCTGCTAAGCACAATGGGGGTCACTTGCTTCCAAGGAAATGTGTGTGATAGTGCATCTTTTGACCACCGTTTGGTACTCACAATTAGAGTGGTTAAGAGGCAGGTTCCTCATGCTTTGGATGCGTTCTTTACCAAGAAATTGAAGCTCAGTCCAGATAAGACTGGGGAACTGTTAGTGGGTGATGGATGGAACTGTTAGCTGATGGATGGAAGGTTGCTCTCCCTCTGAAGCAGCAGGTACGCAGCTGGGGGGTGACTCCTGGATGCTTTGCTGTCACTTGAATCCCTCAAGTGGCCTCAGTGGCACGGAGTGGCTTCCATCAGCTTCGGCTGGTGGCCCAGCTGTGCCCCTATCTGGACAGTGATAGCCTAACATCTGGCAGTCTCTAGGTTAGGGCAGTAACTGGAAAGTGTGGGAAAACACCTGATTCAATGTTGTCTAGCTCCTCTGCAAACAAATGAAAATGAATGCACAATTTTAAAAATGTCACATAGGACACTTTCACCACAAAGGGTAAGGCCAGATTTAAACATCATGCAGGGGTCCCATATGCTCGGCAGCACATATTCTCTGAATCACTAACATCTGTGCCTACAGCATTAGCATGGCAGGGATCTGTGGTCCAGGAGTCCATCACTCTGGTGCTAATTTGACAATGATGACAATGATTTATTACATTTATATACCACACATTCTTCCAAGGAGCTCCAGTTGGAGTACATGGTTCTCCCCTCCCCATTTTATCCTCGCAACAACCCTGTGATGTAAATTAAGCTAAAAGTCAGTGACTCACCCAAAGTCACCCAGTGAGCTTCATGGCTGAATGAGGAGTCGGACCCTGGTCTCCCAAGTCATAGTTCAGCACTCTTATTACTCCACACTGTTGCATGACTCAGCAACACAATGCGTGTGCTACTGAACTCTGCATTGTAAGAACATTAGAAGGATCAGGCCAATAGGCCATTCAGTTCAGAATCCTGTTTCACACGGTGGTCTATTAGCTGTCCCTGGGAAGCTCCCAATCATGTCAGAGGCTGATCTGTTAGTTCAAATGGGGCAATGCCCCATCAACCTCAGTCTGCCCTCAACAGCCTCTGCCTGCTTACTTACAACCAGTCCAGTGGGTGGCCTTGGCTGTCAGCTTCCTCCTCCTTAGCCTGAGTTGATTGGCAGGATGATGGATTGGGATAAAACTAGAATGAGTTGGCTTTGCTTGTCATTGATTCTGGCTGTTCCTGCTGTTAGCTCCACCTACCACTGACACCCCTGCTTTCTGCACCACCATTCCCAAGGGGCACCAAACACCACTGTCTAGAACTAAGGTACGTATATATTGTATTCATATATGTTTAATGTTTCAGGTCATCAAAGTGCATCTGCAGACTTGGCTTCAGCTGTGTGTGCATTTTCACCTGCGATATTCAGATAACCGGCAGAGGGCCTTCTTGGTAGTGGTACCCGCCCTGTGGAATGCCCTCCCATCAGATGTCAAGGAAATAAACAACTGTCTGGCTTTTCTAAAACATCTGAAGGCAGCCCTGTTTAGGGAAGTTTTTAATGTTTGATGTATTTATCATGTTTTTAATATTCTATTGGGAGCCGCCCAGAGTGGCTGGGGAAACCCAGCCAGATGGGTGGGATATATTATTATTATTATTATTATTATTATTATTATTATTACACTTCTTCAGGTGTGGCATTGTTTTTGCTCTCCCTGGAGCTAAACCTCTCACTGGTGTTAATACTTGTTCCTTTTCACCTAGTAATTTGCGCTTTAGGAAGCTGTGCCTCTTAAGATCCTGCAGTGGAAGTAACATAGCTAAGGCAAGGTGAGAAAGGAAATATGAAGCCTCTTGCATCCTACTTCCCTTCCTTTATATATTCCTTTATATATTCTCTGTTCCCGATGCTAACCTGCACAACCTACCATTCTCTCCCCCAGGTGGCTCTCCAGCAAAACTAGCTCTTGCTGAGAGCTGTAAGTCAGGGAATGCACGAACACAATAGATGATACAAGTAAAAATGGCTTCTTAACCAGAGTCCAAGGACAACAAAACGTATCAGCTAAGCCTGCCTAAATGAAAACATGCTCAATTAATGAACAGTTTAATGGCTTGATCGTAAAACATGAATGGATAGTTTGATCAATAAAGACAACACAGTCTCAGCTGTGCCCCATTTCTAAAAGGAAACACAGAACCTGGGTAAGCATGCCTGGAACCCCTGTGATCTTGCATCGCTCAGAGATTGGGCTGGCATGTAACAATATCAATTTCAAGGCAGGGTGCCGTCCAGCCCCTTTTTGAATACTGTACTGGGAACTTAAAATAGACCGTGTAGGCCATCCCATTTTCCATGTGGAGACAGACTAGAGTAGTGCTGAGGCTACTGTTATTAAGGAGTTTTCAGGAGACATTACCATGGAGCTAGACAAGTTCTGAATCCTAACCTAATTTATTCAGCTTAAAAATCAATAGTGCAGTAGGTGCCAGTAACTCATTGACTTTCCTGTGCAAACAGATCATCCTTGCTGTATCAGGGTGATAAGCTGTATCTTAATTCAGTTCACTAAATAAATGGAAGCAATTTCACTTGTCTGATTATCTCTTTTTCCATGAAAAAGCACCTGCTCATTCTGACTTTATAATCAATATGTATGAAAGAGTTATATGAACATATAGATTCAGCTTTAAATTGAAAGTTTTTCACAGTCATCAGCAACAGTTGGCAGTCATATGAACATTTTTCAATGACCACAGTGAATATTTCTTCCCCCATTTCTGTTTTCCTGCAGGAGGCCATCCTGAAACTCTTACTGGTGTACAAGTTGTCTAGTGACAGGTCTGGTCCTCACAGAATAAGGACAATACTTTTACTTAGTCTTTTATTTTCACGTATCATGCTATGTCAGTCTGTATTGTGCATATATTTCCTGCAGCATGGAATGGTACGTAAGTAACTAACCAGTATGGAAGATGTGATAATAAATAAGGAAACCAGAAGCAGAATAAAACAGATTTTTTATTAAATTCCTTCCAGTAGCACCTTAGAGACCAACTAGGTTTGTTATTGGTATGAGCTTTCGTGTGCGTGCACACCAATAACAAACTTAGTTGGTCTCTAAGGTGCTACTGGAAGGAATTTTGTTTCAACTACGGCAGACCAACACAGCTACCTACCTGTAACTAGATTTTTTATTAGCTCAGAAAATCAAAGGTGCTGGAGCCAGGTGAAAATAGTATTTTCTTTAACTATTCCATTTACCCAATAAAACATTAATTTTGCCATGGATGTGCATCTGGTAGTTCAGGAATGGTTATCATTTTCTTCTCGGTCATCTTATGTAATACCTTAGATGCCAGCAACTCAATTCCAACATCATTTGTCAGGTATTGTAACAAATATCTTCATTGCATTTCCAGTTTCAAACATTTCCCTCCTGCATTCAAAACAATGAAGACCATAACAGCCATAGAATTATTTGGTGGCAACTCCTGTTAGGTTCAATGAGATTTACTTTCAAGTAAGTATATTTAGGATTGCAGGCAATGCTTAATTTCTCGCTTAAAACTTGTTGGAACATTTAAGAGGATGCTATTTATACATATCAAATCAAAAGGATACAGGTAGGATGGAAAAGTAGAAGCAGGAGATATAAATAGCAAGACTTATAGCACAATCCTATACATGTCTACTCAGAAGTAAATCCCAATGTGTGAAATTGGGCCAGCGCCCAGGTAAGTGAAGATTGTAGCCTGAAAAATATAACACCTGCACTGTGAGCTAATGGATGAGGCTTTACAACTAAGGCAGAATCTTATGCATGTTTCCTTGGAAGAAAGTCCCACTATGGTACACAGGATTTCAATTTATAATGTCTCCAGGGGTGAAAATCAAATGGACAGTTATCAGGGAGATAGTTCCACAGTGAGTCATACTGAGTAAAGCCACATAGGATTGGACTACATATATATCCTTGTGGTGGGGGTCTTGTCTTCTGAGCAGCCCAGAACCCACATACACACTGTCCAGGCCTGTGTCCTCAAAAGGTCACTTTGGTGCTGCTAACACAGCAGTTTGAATTTACCCCTGGAGGTGCACTCCACTGTCTCCCAAGACAGATGCCAACAATTAGGGGCAAGCATTATCTTTTAACTCTTGCCTTTCTTCTTCTGCTTGTACTTTCACATGCTACGTGTGTACATTTGGTTCAATAGGCATGGATCACCTCCTATTGAATGTCCCAAGGAGCATTATCCAAGAAAGACGTATGCTACATGCAATAATTACATATGCAGCTTCAAATGTCACATACAGGAGCAGATAGCCTCAAGCTCAACCATCCTTCTCTGCAAGGGCTAAATGAGCACCTGTATGCTACGGCAGTTGAGCACTATGCATATTTCAGTGCTCCTCACCAAATAACCCTAGCAATGTATTAGGAAAGATCTTGAATCTTGTCATACTTTTGTACCACACTTCACTGCTACATGCATTTAGCAATCAGCTTCCCATTGACACTTATTAAGGTAAGTGCTCCTGGAATTTCTGATCACAGCAGGCATTTCTTTGAAAAGACTTGATAGATACTATCGCACATCAAGAGGAGCAATCCTACATTCATCTCATAGAGGGATCCCTGGTGCGATTTTGTAGAAACACAGCAGCAAGAAATGCAGCATTGAAATTGGCTCCTATCTAGGTAGGGTACATCTGCCAGCAATCAAAGACCTTTATTAGCATCCATCACCTGTTCAGAAGGAACAGGCGGGCTGAATCCAGTATTCCTGCCAGTGTTAACAGCCAAACATTAGCATAGTTTGCAATCCAGCGCCAGATACACACATACCAGAATGCTGGAGATCCTGTGCATAGCACCCTTTTCTATATGCAGTTCTTTTCCTAATATTACATTTCAAATAGAGTATAACTATAGATCAGCCACCAATGCCACTTTCTTGGCCAAGGTGGTGCAAAGGGTGGTTGCAAAGCAACTGCAAATGTTCCTGGATGAGACTAATTAACTAGATGCACTACAGTCTGGGTTCAGAGCTGAAGCAGCCTTGGTTGCCCTGGTAGATTACCTTTAGCATAAGAGACAGGGACAATGTGAGCCTAGAGGTTTTTATACAGTTGACCATAGTATCCTCTTGAAGCACTCAATGGGATAGTTTATCGGAGGCACTGTGTTCTCATGGTTCTCTGCACTGGGCAAGTGCAACTTGTGCTATGGACTTCCACACAGAATTTTCCTCTTCCCAGTGCTATATGAGGCCATTGGGAGAAGTCATTAGTTTTGGAACAAGATATCACCAATAGGCTGATGATATGCAGCTCTACTTCCCCATGACATCTATAACAGGCTGTGAAAGCTGTTGATCCATGTATGAATGCAGTAGTGGACTAGATGAGGACCAATAAACTGTGCTTGAATCCTGGGAAGACAGAGGTTCTTTGGGTTTCCAAGCTTGGGAGATAGGCAAGTTATCCTTTCTTGCTGGTGTTGCACTCCCTCTGAAGGAACATGAGGGTTACTCCTGAATATGTATATCTTTGTCACTAGAGGCCCAAGTGTCATCTATGGCTAGGAGTGCCTTTTACCAGCTTTGTCTGGTTTCCCAGCTACAGTCATTCCTGGACAAGGATAGCCTTACCACTGTAGTGTATCTGTTGGTAACTATTATATTCTATGCAGGGATCTGCAGATACTCTTAACAGGCTACTGGTAGACTGTGAAAAGAAGCTGACATGTTTTTTCTTGGTATATCATATCCAGAGAGTCGTAAGCAAAACAACCATTTGAAATGTTAAATTTGCTCATTACAAGGATCATCACCCCAATATATAACAATGAATGTAGAATTAACTGTAATACTGACTTTCTTCTGCCAACCTATTCAAATTGTAAACCAATTTGGAATAAAGAATTGATATATACTACCCAAGTACTGCCTCCACATAAATGACCTTTAATTCAATGGAGTTTCTACAGGAACACCACTTACTGGACTGCTTCTTAGGACTTACCTGCATTCTGTATAGCACTTAAAACTCTGAATTAGTTAAATGACGGTTAAAACAGTAAACAACCCAGTAACTATTGTCTAGATGTTTATGCTTACAATATTTATTTATTTAGATTTACACTCTGCCTTTAATCAAAATATTCTCAAGGATAGTTGATGGGCTTGAGTCCATTAAAGCATATGTCATAGTAAATTGTTGGTCTTTAAGGTGCCACAATACATCACTTGTTTTAATTTATGCTGCAATCTTATACACACTAACTTGAGAGTTAGTCCCATTGAACTCAGTCAGGCTTCTGAGTAGACCTGTATATGATTGCAATAATAGGCAACCCTGTAATACAAGCAAGCTGTTACAAAAATTAAGAACAGCAAGGGGGGTCTTTACTGTACAGTACAGTACAGTCTGACCAAACTGCGGGAGGCAGTGGAAGACAGGAGTGCCTGGCGTGCTCTGGTCCATGGGGTCACGAAGAGTCGGACACAACTAAATGACTAAACAACAACAACAGTTTCTTTCTATTGCTAGAAGAATTAGTTTCTACCTCTGAAAACCTATATTCTACCTACAATAAGAAACAATTGCTTCCAGATGTGGGCAATTAAGTTAGCATCCAATTATTGCTGCTCTGCCGCAAGATGGAAATACAATTAACTCTACTTTCAGACTTCTAAAACTCTGTAGCCAAGGGAGCAGTTCACCTTTCCTTAGTTTCAGATGTGGAAGGGGAGTGCTACAGGGTCCACAGTTTGTGTGGGGGCAGGGGAAGCATTAAATCAGAGGTGGGGAACTCCAGTCTGTGGGCCTAATTAGGCCCAGATCCTAATTTGACCTGAAAAGCATTTCCCCCAAAATCGCACTCACTTGTCCACTGAGGAACAGGTGGAAATGCAGTTACCAATACACAAGAGCCCTGATGCACCACTGACCAGCTGATCACTGGTGATCAAAGCATTGTGCAGGGCTATTTGCAAGCCCTGCCTGTTGCTGTGAATTTCTGACAATTCTTGGGACTTCAAAGTATCTACCAACTGACATTATTCTGTCAACCAATTTGGCCTGCTGCCCAGATCCAGTTCTCCACCACTGGGTTATATAATCTCTCCTCCCCCTGCCCCCACAGTACTAATGATCAGGATTTACCCCAGGGATGGGGAAGAGAAAAACAGATATAAAGGCAATGGTATTTAGAAAGGGAAGGGTTAAAATGGTAGACTTGATTCCTAACAAGCAGAGATAGACCATAGCAAAGCAAATAGCTAGAGGTCATCACTGGCCACTAAAGTAGCTATTTCATTGAGTTTTCAGTTGGATTTTCTTAATCTTGAAGGGAAAAAAACCTTAATAGGGAAAACATAAAAGATACTGTACTCACAATGGTGTTAAGATGCCCCATAAAAAGTGACCACAGTGTTAGTATCTAGGATGCCAACAATAGACGTATCCAGGAAAACAATAGAAATACTTAAACCAACTGACCAATCATGTCAATTCTGCCTCCCCTCCAAGAAAAATCCAACGCCCATGATGCTAACAATGGCACTTTTCACATGCATGCAGTGCGTTTTCCTAGGGGGACGTGGGGGTACACATACTCCTAAACATTTTGTGAATCTTTGTACTTTTGTCCATTTACTGTATTTCTTTCCCCCAATTTGAACTATAAAATGGTGATTTTCTTGAGTCAAAATGAGAGTACCCTTGAAACATTTTTTTCAAGAAAAAAAGCACCGCCTGCATCTGTATCACACTCCTTAGACCTTGGGATAACCCAAACACTAGATGAATCATAGAATCATAGAATCATAGAGTTGGAAGAGACCACAAGGGCCATCGAGTCCAACGCCCTGCCAAGCAGGAAACCCCATCAGAGCACTCCTGACATATGGTTGTCAAGCCTCTGCTTAAAGACCTCCAAAGAAGGAGACTCCACCACACTCCTCGGCAGCAAATTCCACTGTCGAACAGCTCTTACTGTCAGGAAGTTCTTCCTAATGTTTAGGTGGAATCTTCTTTCTTGTAGTTTGGATCCATTGCTCCGTGTCCGCTTCTCTGGAGCAGCAGAAAACAACCTTTCTCCCTCCTCTATGTGACATCCTTTTATATATTTGAACATGGCTATCATATCACCCCTTAACCTCCTCTTCTCCAGGCTAAACATGCCCAGCTCCCTTAGCCGTTCCTCATAAGGCATCGTTTCCAGGCCTTTGACCATTTTGGTTGCCCTCCTCTGGACACGTTCCAGTTTGTCAGTGTCCTTCTTGAACTGTGGTGCCCAGAACTGGACACAGTACTCCAGGTGAGGTCTGACCAGAGCAGAATACAGTGGCACTATTACTTCCCTTGATCTAGATGCTATACTCCTATTGATGCAGCCCAGAATTGCATTGGCTTTTTAGCTGCCGCGTCACACTGTTGGCTCATGTCAAGTTTGTGGTCAACCAAGACTCCTAGATCCTTTTCACATGTACTGTTCTCAAGCCAGGTGTCACCCATCTTGTATTTGTGCCTCTCATTTTTTTTGCCCAAGTGCAATACTTTACATTTCTCCCTGTTAAAATTCATCTTGTTTGTTTTGGCCCAGTTCTCTAATCTGTTAAGGTCGTTTTGAAGTGTGATCCTGTCCTCTGGGGTGTTAGCCACCCCTCCCAGTTTGGTGTCATCTGCAAATTTGATCAGGATGCCCTTGAGTCCATCATCCAAGTCGTTGATAAAGATGTTGAATAAGACCGGGCCCAAGACAGAACCCTGTGGCACCCCACTAGTCACTCTTCTCCAGGATGAAGAGGAACCATTGATGAGCACCCTTTGGGTTTGGTCAGTCAGCCAGTTACAAATCCACTGAGTGGTAGCATAGTGAAGACCGCATTTTACCAGCTCTTTACAAGAATATCATGGGGCACCTTGTCAAATGCCTTGCTGAAATCAAGGTAGGCTACATCCACTGCGTTCCCTTCATCTACCAGGCTTGTAATTCTGTCAAAAAACGAGATCAGGTTAGTCTGATCCCCAAGGGCTTCTGTTTAAGGAGATCGTGCTTTTTTGCATCTTGACCGAATATTATCATTGTGGTTTGTTACTTTGTTTTCTTTTCCCCCTTGCTTTTCTTTTCCTTCTTATATAAATAAATAAAACTTTGGACTCCAAAATATACCATTTACGGGCTGGAACCTGCAGAGTAACTGGAAAGCTACAGCTCGAGCCATTTCTCTGTGTCCCTTTCTAGGCTGAATCCTAACCCTTGGTAAAGGTAAAGGTACCCCCTGACCATTAGGTCCAGTCGTGGCCGACCCTGGGGTTGCGGTGCTCATCTCGCTTTACTGGCCAAGGGAGCCGGCGTACAGCTTCCGGGTCATGTGGCCAGCATGACTAAGCCGCTTCTGGCGAACCAGAGCAGTGCACGGAAATGCCGTTTACCTTCCCGCCAGAGTGGTACCTATTTATCTACTTGCACTTTGACGCGCTTTCAAACTGCTAGGTTGGCAGGAGCAGGGACCAAGCAACGGGCACTCACCCCATTGCGGGGATTCGAACCGCTGACCTTCTGATCAGCAAGCCCAAGAGGCTCTGTGGTTTAGACCACAGCGCCACCCGCATCCCATAACCCTTAGTACCCTGACACAGAAACCAGTCCCATTGCGCTCAACGGGACTTACACCAAAGTGAGTACAGTATGTCTAGGATTACATAGCCCTGGCCCGAAGTACGAGACTCTCAACGCGTCTCGCTCGCCTCAAACCTAGACAGCTCGCTTTACGGCCGCTGGAGGTCGCCCTCACAAAGAGACTCCTTTCCCCCCTCCCGTTCACGACACGCTCCTTCCATTTACGGCAAGGCTTGCCGACGTGCGTGGTGACGACTCGCCGGCCTGCTGAGGTGGATGGGAGCTGTAGTCCCCAAGGCAAGGCCTCGTTGCTAAGCAGCGGCTTGGCCGGCGACGCTTAGGAAGCGGCGCGGTTTCTGCAGGCGTCGCATACCTTTGACGTCCTTTGTAAAGCGCGCCCGGTTAAGAACGCGGGACGGGCCTCGGGAAGGGGAAAGACCGCCGCCGCCATGAAAGAGACGCCGCTGTCCAACTGCGAGAAGCGGTTCCTGCTCCGGGCTATTGAGGAGCGAAAGGTGCGAGGTGGCGGGACGTGGATGCTCCTAGGCAGGATTGCGCGTGTTTATGTGCCGGGACTCGTGGGGGAAAGGGCGCCGCTGGCGGGGTGGGCGTGGATTCCGTCCCGGCGGGCGGGAGAGGCGGTGCCCGTGGGGACGGGAGGAGCCTCGGGAGCGTGTTGTTTAAAAGGTCATGACGCGGCTGGGAGAAGATGTTACTAGCTGTCATTAACTCGAATGGTGAAAGAACGACTCGACCTCTGGCAATGGATGAAGCTGTATTTTAAGCTGAATAACAATTATAATACCCCCCTCCCAATCTGGCTGGGCTTCCCCAGTCATTGTGGATGGCTTACAGCACATAAAAAATTGTAAAACTTTAGACGTTAAAAATTTCCTGATATAGGGCTGCCTTCAGATATTTTTTATTTTTTTTGGATTTGATATCCCGCTTTATCACTACCCGAAGGAGTCTCAAAGCGGCTAGCATTCTCCTTTCCCTTCCCCCTCCACATCTTCGAAAAGTCAGATAATTGTTATTTCCTTGACATCTGATGGGAGGGCATTCCACATGGCAGGCGCCACTACCGAGAGGGCCCTCTACAGTGAGGGAACTTTTCGCAGTGAGGGAACTGCCAGAAGGCCCTCGGCGCTGGACCTCAGTGTCCAGGCTGGACGATGGGGGTGGAGATGCTCCTCCAGGTATACTGGGCCGAGGCCATTTAGGGCTTTAAAGGTCAGCACCAACACTTTGAATTGTGCTCAGAAACGCACTGGGAGCCAATGTAATTCTTTCAAGACCAGTGTTATGTGGTCTCGGCTGCCGTTCCCAGTCACCAGTCTAGCAGCCGTTTTCTGGATTAGTTGTAGTTTCTGAGTCACTTTCAAAGGTAGCCCCACTTAGATCGCATTGCAGTAGTCTAAGCGGGAGATAACTAGAGCAGTCTGCGGGCAGGTAGGGTCTCTGCCTGCACACCTGGTGGAGCTGGTAGACAGCTGCCCTGGACACAGAATTGACCTGCACCTCCATTGACAGCTATGAGTCCAAAATGACTCCCAGGCTGCGCACCTGGTCCTTCAGGGGCATAGTTACCCCATTTAGGACCAGGGAGCCCCCCACCTGCCCCCATGTCCCCCCCAAAACAGTACTTCTGTTGAATTGTACATTGCCTTGGGGTGTGGAGGGCCAAAGGGCAGTTTTATAAATATTTTTAATATTTCTGGAAACTTTGCCCACCAAAAGGTGGCTACTCTAGTGTTAAAGACTGTTGGAATGTGTAGGGGAAATCTAAGCTGCATCCAGCAATTGTTGACCTTGTGCAACTGGTTCTGTACTTCTGTGGCTTACCTTCCCAATCCCACACTTCACATCTGTAACACTGCTGTGCTCTTCCTTTGTAGCGTCTGGATGGGCGACAGTGCTATGACTACAGAAACCTCCGCATTTCCTTTGGCACTGACTATGGCTGCTGTATTGTGGAGCTCGGAAAAACCAGGTATTTCAAAAGAAGGGAACACAAGTATCCAGGCATAACTGAACCACCTCACTGCCACCATTTCTGTCATGGCAGTATGCTGTGTCACTTACTTGGGGACCTACTTATTATAGCAGGCAGGAGAAAGTTGTGTATAAAAAAGCAGGAGAAAGCCAGGTGGGAGAATCCACAGCTACTCTATTTCTTCCTTCATCTGGAACTTTAGGTATAATGGGAAGGGCCATAGTTCAGTGGTAGAGCATCAGCTTTATATGCCGAAGGTCCCAAGTTCAATCTCCAGTATCTCTAGGTAGGACTGGGAAAGATGCTTGCCTGGAACTCAGGATAGCTGCTGCCACTCAGTGTAGAAAATATTGAGCTACATGGACCAATGGTCTGACTCGGTGTAAGGCAGTTAGCTGTGTTCCCAATGTTGATTTGTAGGTTACAACTTAGCAACACAATTGTCTCAAGGCTTGCAGTTAACTTATCCCAGGTAAATTTCACATTAAGTTCAGAGACTAGAATTTTAGAATGATTCATTGTTTGCTTTCCTGTCACATGTCAATAATTAGTAAGGTGTTAATTTGTTTTCTTTCTCAAAGCTTGTCTTTTGGGGTGGCTTCTCTTTCTGCAGAGTTCTTGGGCAAGTGTCGTGTGAACTTGTCGCCCCAAAGCCAAATCGTGCAACAGAGGGCATACTTTTCTTTAATCTTGAACTCTCTCCTATGGCATCACCTGCTTTTGAGCCTGGAAGGTATGTGAGCGTTCCCCCTGCTCCCTGTAATGTCAACAAGCAAAGATAATGCAAAAAAAAATTAAAATACTGTTCCTGGCTTTGCATTTGTTAGGAGCTAATGCTTTGTGTCTTTGTTTTTTGTTTTTGTTTTCATTCTAGACAATCTGAGCTGCTTATAAAACTAAACCGACTGTTAGAAAGATGTCTAAGGAACTCCAAGTGTATAGATACTGAATCTCTCTGTGTTGTTGCTGGTGAAAAGGTGTGTGCTTGCATGAATTCTGACACTTTAGTCAATTATTTTCCTTTTCTTTTTTGCGTTATGTTTTTTGGATTGTGAACCTGTGGACAGGGATTTTTGTTCTTTCTCTCTCTTGTTGCATGGTACCTAGTACCTATTAGGTACCCCTGACCATTAGGTCCAGTTGTGGCCGACTCTAGGGTTGCAGTGCTCATCTTGCTTTATTGGCCAAGGGAGCTGGCGTACAGCTTTCAGGTTATGTGGCCAGCCTGACTAAGCCGCTTCTGGCGAACCAGAGCAGCACATGGAAACGCCGTTACATATATATATATATATATATATATATATATATATATATATATATTCTTAATTATTTGCCAGGAATGGATTGATTTTTAGTAAACCAATGGTGGGCACTGAGTTAAATGAGACTTAAACCTACATAAGGTTATAACTCTGCTGATTATTTCTAGAGATAATGTATGGTATTTGGCAAAGGTATTTTAAATGTCTGTTGAACTGTAGAAGAGACCCCAGCATTTATCTGCTAAAGGTATTCAATAGCAAAATATTTATTTATTCTGTAAAAGTTTTTATATGCTATCCTGTTATAAAATATAAGGGTGGTATAGAACATTATAAAAATCTTAAAAGTTCAGTAAAAGCATTGCAAAATCATTGCTAGAGAATAATTAATACTGGTTTGCTATTAATATTAGTTTGCTCTCTTTCTCCTGCAGCAGTAATGGGAAACATGTGAACCTCCCATCATCCCTGACCCTTGGCCATGCTGGCAGAGTTTGATGGGAGTTGGAATCCAACAACATGTAGAGGGCCACAGGTTCCCAGTTTCTGCTCTACAGTGACATACACTTATATTTTTAGATACTTTGCAGTGTGTGTGATCACTGATGAGAATGCCACATTCAGTATTCCTGCAGAGATCTTGCCTTCCCATGTTTTTAGTAACCTTTTGGAAACCAGCAGAGCCTAGACGTGTGTCCTTATATTCACATTATCTTTGACTCTTTATTCAAATATGTTTTCTCTAGTTTTTAATGAGATTTCTAAGGAGGCACAAGGCAAATAACAGCAGGATTATATTTATATTTGCTGAACATTAAAAAAAACTGAGAAGCAAAGTGAAATGCCTTGCTTGTTGTTTTTTTATTCTGAGGTCTGGCAAATTCGTGTGGACCTGCATTTGTTGAATCATAATGGAAACATTATTGATGCTGCAAGCATAGCAGCAATAGTGGCATTATGCCACTTCCGGAGGCCAGATGTGTCTGTGCAAGGAGAAGAAGTAACTCTGGTAAGTTGCTTCAGTCTTGCATTCTTGACTTTCCCTTTAAGTAGAATCCTGATGGTCCATCAGTGAGAGTTACCTTTACAAAGCAAAACAACATACTTGGGACTTCATAAGCAAGAGGACATAGTACTCAAAATCAGTTAGCACAGATGAGTACAGCCTTGCACGGATAAAAACCTAAGAAACACCTTGTTCAGTCAGATCAGGGTCCAATGTTCTTTGCAATAATTCTTGCAGGCACTAGGTGGTCTACCAATAATTGGTTTGTGGGCTGCTATCCCACTTATATATTGTCTGATTTTGGATTTGTGATAGCTGTATATTAAATATGAAGTTATACATAAAACATTGGGGGATAAGAGCAGGAACCATCTACTGATTTGCTTAGCTACGAAGAGTTGATCAGCTTCAGTTGAGACTCCTCTCTAAAGCAAGTGGGGAGCTTTTAGAGGATGGGCAAGATATTCAAATATAATAAAAATATAAATCATTTAACTGTATATCTATAAAGCTATGTTCTTCTCAACTCTGAGGGCTGGAAATTTCTCTTCTTACAGATTTGAAAGCCGTGTAACCACTCAGTTTTATTCTGTAACTAGTCAGTAAGAATTCTCAGTTATGTATTTTTTGCTAAGTAAAGTATTCTTTTGTATTGGACTATTTAGTATACCCCCGAGGAGCGGGATCCTGTCCCTCTGAGTATCCACCACATGCCTATCTGTGTAAGCTTTGCTTTCTTCCAGCAAGGGTAAGTTAATCTTGTTCCATGAGCTGAAAGCCACTTGCCAGCATTTCTAGAATTCAGGCGCATAACACCAAAGAGGAACCATCGGGTGGGTTCTTGAAAGTGAGATAGTGTGCCGTCTTAATCTGAAAAATCAGTTAGTTATTGCAGTGTAATATGACTGATTTTAACGAGTGTTTTATCAGCGTAGGTTTTAATTCACAAACACATCTTAAACATATACCTAACATCTTGCACATTGTATTGTTTAAATTTTCATTGATCTTCTCTTTTGGGATTAAACACTTACTGATAGTTTATAAAATGATTGCAGGACCTACTTGTTAGTAGATCCCAGTGAACAGGAGGAACGTGTAATGGATGGTCTTCTTGTGATTGCTATGAATAAGCACCGTGAGATTTGTACAATTCAGTCCAGTGGTGGAATTATGCTGCTAAAAGATCAGGTAATATGGAAGTTTCTGAAGTTTGAGTATTAAGCTGTGGATCACACTTTATGCAGATAATTAATGTTTCACCATTGAGTAATCCATCTTCACATAAGGTCTTGATTGCATTTTGAACTGGATAGGTACTTTTAATATTATTCTGCAGAGCATGTCTGAGACAGAGTGAGAAGGAAGAGCTTGCACATTTAGGTGCCTACATGGAGATAGAAAGTTTCAAGAGGCTTGGCTTGCTAATCGTCAATTGACTATTTGAATGTAGAGACACTTCCCTGTACTGCAAATATTAAAAAGTATACAAATGAGACATTTAAACCAGGCTTGCAAAGCTTTTGCATAAAAAAAACTCTTTTAACCTAAGAATGGCTTGACCTCTTCAAGGACAAATAATTGCTTAGACCTAAACTTGCAATTCTAACAAAGTATCACCTAATTTGAATATTGCTAAAATCATACTTTTTGCTAAAGTTCAATGGAAACTATCCCATGATGCAGTCTTCCAATATTTATTTGCTACATGACTTAGTGCGATACTATTAGCTCAAAATGTTGGTTGTTTCTGCTGCCCTTTTTTCTTCTTACTTGAAATAGAAGAGAGAAACCTGTAACTTCATAGAGTGAATGCTGCTGTTTATTCTTAGTATGTAAACAGACAGCCTTTTAAATCCTTTAATTAAGCTTCATTTAATCCATTTTAAAGGCTTGGTATTACTCAAAAGCCCAGTAATTCCCAGAAGTCTTGGCAGGGGGGTAGATATCTCTGAACCATGGTTTAAGGGCATGCTATCCTCAGTCTGCTCCCTTGCTATAAATTGACTATCCAGTGTCTGAAGCATAGTCATTCTTGCATCTTTCCTTGCCCCGGATCTAAGAACTTGACCATACCTCATACGGAGTGAACACATGCTGTGACAAAACCTTTTAGCTTATATTTGCTTATGTCATGATATTGATCTATTTACCACAGGTTCTGAGATGCAGCAAAATAACCGGTGTTAAAGTAGCAGAAATTACAGAACTAATTCAAAAAGCCTTGGAGAATGATCAAAAAGTTAGGTTAGTATGTCACAGGTACTCACTTGCATCACCAATTTGTTCCATTTTAAAATTAATCTACAAATTTTCTCAATCAGACTTTGTATAAAATCTGCCTGATAGGTTTCCTGTATCAGAATAGTTGAATTGGACCATGAGTATTTACTCAGGCCATTAGAAATAGGGAAGAAATAGATTAGGGCTGTCAAGGATATTTCATTTGGCCACCAGAATAAGGGTAGGAGCCAGATGATAAGCATATATTACACCACTTATACATCAGTTACCCTGGCTACCAATTTGTTTCTGAACTCAACTTAAAATGTTATTGATCCCAAAGGTTAGGCCACATAGGAACCTGCCTGAACCCTGAGATTGTCAATGCTGTCCCAGCTGTCTGACCAATTCAGCCTTTTCTGTCATAATACTGCCAAGCCCCTCCTCTTCCAGTCTATAAATAAGCTCTGAAAACATTTTATTCAGATAAGTCATATTATTCCCTCCCCACCCTACTACTCTTCTTGTGCTGATGTACTTTTGTTTTCTTGTTTGGCTGTTTTAATTGTTCTGTAACTTTGTGAGTCACTTTGATGGGAATTTTTTTTGAAAGCAGGATATAAATTGAAACAGAAGCTATATTGCTTATTTATATTTGTTTTGTAGAACATTTCAACATTATGAATGTTTATGTCAATTTGGATGTCTAAAGGAACTTTTTTGTTTGTTTTAACAGGAAAGAAGGAGGGAAATTTGGATTTGCAGAATCTATTCCCAGCCAGAAAATAACAGCTTTTAAGATAGATCAAGCCCCAATTGATACTAATGATGTACAAGAGCAAGCTGAAGAAATAATCTCAAAAGCATTTCCACCTTCCGAAGTGTATCCTTTTTATTGCCTCACATCAGTGTGTTAGGTGATTGATGTTAAGTGGTAGAGCTATTCTTTTACAATTGAATACATTTTCACAATTCTAGTTTCAGTGGCAATGCCTACACAAATTTTTATAAAAGAGTGTCCAAGAACCGCATGAAGATTCACCACAGCAGGAAAGAGCATATAGCAATCAGGGTTGTGGTTATCCCACCAGGGGAAAAGTTAACTAGATGTTGAAAAAAATCGCAAATGTCCTAAGAAGGAAGCCTAGCAAAATGTTGAGGAAAAACGGTATCTGAAGCTTGTGCATCATATTGCTAACAACACACTGTGCTAAAGACTATTGTGCAAAAAGGTATCAGAGTAGGTATCACTGTTCTGTGATCCTAAGTAGCCCTGTTTAGGGAGGTTTTTAATGTTTAATGCTGTATTGTGTTTTTAATATTCAGTTGGGAGCCTCCCAGAGTGGCTGGGGAAACCCAAGCAGATGGGTGGGGTATAAATAATACATTATTATTATTATTATTATTATTATTATTATTATTCATTTATTTATTTATTATCTATACATTTTTGTCAAAAAATTATGGAGAATTTATACCATTGCTGCATTGCATGCAAGTGTTGAGGACAGACTGAAGCCTGTTTCTCCAAAATAAAAAGCAAAATGTGGTAAAAGGTCAGGTCTATTTCTGAGTCAGAAAGCCCACCAAGTCCCTCATACTATAATGAAATCTGGATAATGTCTGCATTTTGCTTAATGAACCTAGCTTGGCCAAGCCCATTTTATGGGCTTCTGGCACAGCCCAGATTGGAGAAGGACAAGAGAGTTCTTGGGGAGATTTTGAGGAATCTGAGAAGGAAGAGGAGGAAGATGAAGATGAAGTCAACCCAGATGAACCAATAACTGTAGAAGACCAGAGTATGGAATCAGGAGACACTGGTGTTCGAACCAGAAATCAGAAAGGTTTAGCAGCAGTGCTTCACGAAAGATCGCGGGGTAATATCAAATGGGAAAACACAGCTTAAAAGTTGTAAATTAGTGTCTGCAGATGTTTCTGCTTTAGTGCATGCTAATTATAGGTAAGCAAGAATTCTTGGCCACAACAATAGACAGTTGAATATCCAGAGGGGACAGTTTGAATATTGTCTTGAATAAAGTCTGTTTATTGCCAACCAGGCTGGGCCAGATCCTGAGCTCATTGCCCAATGTGGGCCAGTTTCATAGCCCCTGTCAGTCACATGATGTCACTGTGACATCTGATGACCCAGCTTCAAAATTGTACTCTTAAGCGCACCCACAGTATTCCCTTTCTTCTTTGCAGCCTGGCTTGAACTCGAGATGGGCTGCAAAAGGAAGATCCTTGCCAAAAGCACAGTTTGCAGGCTGATCAGCCGTGGTTGCAAGCCAGGATTAATTTGGGAGCTCAGGAGTCAAAACTAATCCCAGGAGAGTTTGCATTTGGTCCCAGATTTAAAAGGTCCTGCATATAAGCCCTGCTTTCCAAATAATTATTGAGAGAACACTTTGAGGCTCATGATGGTTCCTTTGCAGCTGTGTCTTTACCCACCCACCTAATTTGTTTGGCCTTTTGGGCCAAAGATTTTGTCTGTTTTCTGCACTATGTTGCTGTTGAATCAGAAGAGTTAAAGTTTTCGCAAACTGATATTTTCCAATTAGTGGGACGGGCCCTTCTCTCAACTCACAATTAGTTAGAAACATGAACGTCTTTGAAGTGGAGTTTTAGAGTTGGAAGGAGAGCAGTTGTTTTTAGGATTGTAGTTGGGGATGATGTGGGCTGGAGGGAAAATAGTTGCAAGCTGTAAGCATTGGTAAGCTGGAGAGAAAAGTGGCAGGCTGTTAAACACATCAAGCTATGCAGAGGGACAGAGGGCCATGACTGACTTCTGCTGGCATCCAAGGCTGTGGCCGTGGGAGAGGCAATAACCTTTTGGAGTGTTAATGCTTTGAATCCCTCCATCATATGCTCAGGTTGTATATATGTGTAAATAAGCCATATGTCCTAAAGATGCCAAAGGAAACAGACCCTGGGTTCTGGAACGCCTGGAATCTCATGCCACTCAGATATTGGTGTGGCATGTAACACAATTCAGGATTAACCGTGGTGCCAACACACACAATACAGTTGCCATCAGCCTGAAATGGCACACCCTTTTCTGCACTTCTGCTACAGCATATCGTTTATCATGTTATCCCAGATGAAACCCATGTACCAATGAATAATTTTCTTACATTTTTAAGATGAGACAATCGTGTTGTCTGACAGTGAAGAGGAAGATGTTGTTATCCTGGAGCCAGAAATTGCACTCAGCAGGTAATCACAAGGACATTTTCCTGTTTCTGTAGCTGGCTGTGTTTGACTGAGACTTACTGCTAGTATGGAAAGGGATTCAGAATCCACACATTGCTTGTGAGCAAGGCACCTAGCACTGCTTCCCACCCTGGTGGTCTTACTTCCACTAGTTTTATTGAACAGATAAGAAATTGGAGTCACTTCTGAGCAGTGTTCAAATTGCAGGACAAAATGCCCACCCTAGTCCATAGCATATCTGTAACTCAGGTGGGATATAAAATAGGGGTTAGGGAGGCATAAAAAAACCTAATGGATTAAAAAAACCAAATAGCTCTATATTCAGAGATGTCCTTTAAGATGAACTTGAAGAAAGGTAAGAGTTTGAGGCTGCAGTACCCCAAAGATACTGTATGTTGATGGAGTGGAAGCTTGCATGTACGACAGCAAATAGTTATGGGCAGGATTGCTGCAGACCTACTAAGTTGCTCAAATTGTTACTAAGCTGCTTCTAAGTTGTGCCTTTGGAGGAAAGAGGCCCAAAATCCACAGAATGAATAAATGTGTTCTGTATCTAGGCCACATGATCTAAACAAAATAAGTTCATTTTAACTGAAAGTTAGCTATGGATTCAAAGAGAAGTTTTTGTATCTGACTCAGGAAAAGATATTGGTGTTCTGGATGTGTCTAAGCTTTTCCACCTTGTGAAATGTTTACTTAAAATTTTATGCTAAGGGGGAAGAAAAGGATATATTTCTATATTTTTATGTGCTTAGCTGGAACTTGAAATAAAAGAAAACTAAACATTGCATTATAATTCTTACCTTTTTTTTTTACCCATGTAATTCAAGTTAAAGGTGAATTCTGAACCCAGGGAGCAAGTTCATACATCTCTTCTATAGTTCTAGACCCATACTCTTCCACTACAGAAATGTATTGGTCATAGCCAAAGTCCCATGGACATTGAATTGTCTATTGTGTATCAGCAGGTTTAAAACCTTAAGGCTGGGTAGTGCCCAATAGCAGTTTCTGAAACGGGGTGGTGGAGAGAGCATGCACATAAGGGTTCAGTACTGTGCAATTCTAAATATGTTAAGTGATGAGTGCAGCTTATTCCCTATAAACATGCCTGTGGTAAGGAGTACAGCCTTCATAGCTGTTTTCAGATACAATGCTAATCTTTTAGAGACCTGGGCTCATCCACCATTCCATTTGCCCCATTGCTTCCTTCCCCTCAGGAAAACCCAGTTCACACTGAATTGGAACAAATGGCAGTTGGATTTTTCGTGGATTGCTGTTTGTTCCATTTGAGCACCAGAGTGTGGTTTTTCCAGGGGAAAGGCAAAACCACTATGTGGAAGTGCAAATGAGCGCATATTTTGTATAATTGAAAATTAATATAGTGTAGTTTGATGAAATGGACAGACTACTGGATTTTGCTGTAACTTCCCTGCTTTTCTTCCCTACAGACCTGAGTCTTCCCCAAAGCAGGACATCAATAAAAAAACAGCTGGCAAAAAGAAGAAAAAAGCTGTTTGAAGTTTTATTGTTTATATTAAACTTGCTTGCTCTGTATTCTGTAACTTAGTGTGTATGTGCACATGCAAGGAATTGTCATGGTGTGTTCACTTGCCTAAGTGCAGTATCTTTTTCAAATAAAGTTTAGGCAGAACTGGACTAGGGCTCTATTCTGTGTAGCTCTTTGCTAAAGGAAAGGTTGTGAGGATCTGACCGGTTACTTGATTTCTGCTTTCTGTTCACAGGGTAATGACAAAAGATCATCTTTCCTCCTCTTTGACACCCAAACCTCTAGGTCACAGTTTTAAAAGTGACATTTTTAGAAATAGCCCTATAAAATGGTATTGAACTTGAGAAGGTTCTATGGAGCGCTTATATTGAAAATAGGTTAAGTTAACACAAAGGCAGACAAGTCCTCTTTCAGGATTTTATTGACCAGCTTCAAGATGGTTTACACGTAGGTCTTTACATGCAATTGGTTTGCTGTGAGCACATGTGAAGCAGTATTCTATCTTACAGAAAATCCTACTTAAATATGAATATAAAAGTTAGCCACCCTTACAAATATAGAAAACCTTTCAAACCAGGGCTTAGTTTGTACAGCAGACCCACTACTTCCACCCTGTATCAATACATATCACATTTGAACAGCTACCCAAGCCTAGGACCTTTGCTAGCTGCAGTTGGGTTGCAGAGCAGTATGCATGAGTTGAGATCACTGTTCAGCACTGCGACCTCTAGCACCAAATCCATGGCCTTTACGTCTGTAGGTTATAGTTTGGCATGCTCAAATAGGCAACACATTAAGTAGTTTCAATTTGTGACCTCAGAGTACAAGCCAAGACAGTTTTCAGACAGCAATAGCTGTCTATATAGCCTTCCTGTGACAAAAATGCTATTTCTTGCCCTTGTTTTCAAGACTCCCTTTCTGTGGGTTAGAGTGAAAATCATTAATGCAGCGTTTCATAAGCTACTGTAGCAGCATGAACTTAAGTGGCACTACTGCCACCAGCAGGCACAAACATCTAATAACCAGTCAACATTCTTAATGGCTACTCAGAACTGTAAAAAGTAGCATCACTCTTAAATTATGTTAAGCATTAGTTGACTTTCCCAAATATACTGTTGCAACTTAATTGTATATAGGAGTCTGAATAGACTGAACCTTCCTTCGTATTAGTATTTCAAGTATGCAGACAGACTCTATTGAATTTTCTTGATTTGACATTTAGAGTCAGAATCCCTACTTACATGCTCTTATTTTTAAAAAAGGGTCAGCAGTACTTAAGTGGTTGACCTGCATGGTTTAAGTCTGTTTCAACAGAACTTTTAAAGGCGCGTCACCTAAGTATTTAGAACAAGATTGCATGTACAAAAGTTTACATTAAAACATTATAAAAGTAGAAAACTTCACAATTTTCTATGGTAATATACCAGAGTGATCGAAGTCTAAATAAAAGTTTAAAACTGTACAGTTGCTATTACAGGTAATATACACCTTTGAGATGTCAAGTTTGATTGTTATGATAAGATTAGTGTCTCTGGCGGGTCAATGAGCGATACTGCATGGTACCTGAAAAAGATAAGTTAGACAAACACTTAACTTCTGCTCTCCAGCACAGTATTTATATTCCATCAACTGTATTTGTGTAGAAAATGACAATATATTCTAATGCAGCAGCAGTCAACATGGTGCCTTCCCTGCCGATATTAAACTACAGCTTCTATAATCCCCGACGATTGTCTGTGCTAGGTGGGGCTGTTCCGTGTTTAAGTGAACAAGATCCGAGGGCATCATGTTTGCCACCCCTATTCTAGTGTACCCCCAACTCTTTAGACAAAAAGCATAGGAAAGAGTCTTACTTTACAGCCTTGTATTTCTCTCGTATAGACTGTTGCGTATGCTGTGCCGCTGTCTGGTAGGTCTTGTGGAGGTCCAATATACAAGGCTTAAGACTTTCAATTGTGTATCCCGTAACTTCAGCAAGAGAGTCAGTCTGCCAAGGAAATTGTCAGATGGTTATTCAACTCTGCCTTTCAGCATTATTGCTGGAACACTGCTCCTATTTTCTTAGGCTTTGTCCTGAATCTGAAATTTAGCATTATCAAAGGAAGAGTTGGGGTTGACATGGGATGAACTGTAGGGAAAGATTTTTTAAAAGCATAGTAGGGAAGACAATTCTTTCTCTACTTTTGTGGATTTATCTCCATGGCACGTACAAGCAAATTTGATTACTAGATTAAATGGCAGAAGAGAGCAAAATCTGTTGTGTTAAGAGAGCCTGAAGATGATAGTAGTCCCATTGTTTATTGCCTAAAGAACCTAGGCATGCTATGCACGCAAGTGTCCCAGAGGAGATTATCCTTTTCAGTACCCTTAAGACCAGAATTTGCCCCGGGGTGCCTGTATGGTTGTAGACGGTGGAACGTCATTTAAATTTAATGATGAAGGAATAGCATCAATGCTCATCATGGGTCAAATACTTGAGCGTTTGGAGAGGGGGAATTTAAAAAATGGGGGCAAGGGACACAGAGGTAGGTTGTACAGAAAGTGTCATACTTAGAAGTACAGAGCAGTTAGATATTATGGCCTATGAATCCTTGTGTGCACATTTTGCAGACTTTCATTTGAACCTCCCAAGTAACAACTGTGGAATTGGATCATTGAAAGTGCCCAGCAATCGTTACAGGCCACCAAGCAACATACTAAATACCACTGATACTGTGTTCCTATGTGCCTCAAGGCGAAACACCTGCTCATCTTCTCCAGTAATGTCAACTGAATCATACACTGCCGAATAACAGTTAACTTTCAAGGCAGTTTGAAAGAGATAATACATCATAGCAAAAATAGAAACAAAGCCTCTAAAGTTTCATGGTACGAGGCTGGGAAAAATAAAGGTTTTTGCCTGGTGCTGGGAAAGAATGAAGGCAACCAGGCAAGTCTTCACAATTTTCCATGCAGGGCCCACCCCATAAGCATGGTGGCCGCCTTCCCACTTGCCTGACCTGATGGCCAGAGGATACAGAAGAGGGCATCTGATCTCAGTGTACAGGCAGGCTGAGGTGCAGGTAGACCCTTTGACGCTCCAATATGTGTATCAAGGCAAGTATTATACATACCCAAGTTTTTCCAGAAATAGTATAGTTTGCTGTATGAAATGCTGCGGCAGCAATTACTGATGGCAAATATTTCAGGTATGTCTCAGCATCAATTAAACTCAGTTCTCCCAAGTACTGTAGAGAGAGAAAACATGCTTAAACCCGGCCAGCTGCATTTTTGTCGTACAGAAGCTGCACTTTCAAAACAGGCAAACAAACTGTCTCTGTACATTAAGAGGCTAACAAGCTGTGAGTGGCATTGGCTAAACCAAGCCAGCCCCTTCCTGTCCTACACCACACAGGTACATGGAAATTGTGCCCTTCAAGTAGCACAGACACTTCTAATAAACACCTGGAAAATACGCCATTCAGTTGGACTCATGCTATTCCCTCCTCTAGCCACATTAGCTGGAGAAAGTTTTACCCCCCTGCCAATGATAGTTAAGAGTTGGGATGGTTCAATTGGTACAGCATAAGACTCTTAATCTCAGGGTTGATTCCTGCCTTGTAGGGGGTTGGACTAGATGACCCTCGTGGTCCCGTCTATGGTTCCAACACATGCCTCAAACAAAGCTCTTCCTTAAGAGAAAGCACCTGGTTCCCACAGGAACTGAAGGAAAAAACAAAACCTTATGTGCAGAACCAACACTTACCGTTGCCAGGTTTTCCACTTGGGAGCTAGCTGGCTGATGCAAGAAGTATTGAGAAAGGAACTGGTTTATAGTAGGTGCTGCCAGATCAAATGAAAGGACTTTCAGAACTAAGTGCTCCATCCTGAGGACTTGTTTCTTTGTGTAAGTGTCATCTGTGATATATACAAATTCTGCTACTTCAGGAGGGTAGATTTCTTCAAACTTTCTAGGGTAGAAAGGAAAGCACTGCTGTAAGCATCAAGCTGCATTTGTCTCCATCCCTTGTACCATTTCATCCCAAAGTATGCATTAGGATAAGCAAAGTATCCAGTAAAGATGCTGTTTGTTTTTATCCTGCTTTGTATACTCTATCTGCCTCCCAGTGCTTTGCTGCAACCAGCTTGGGAACTCTCAGAAGTAGGGAAAGACCCTGGCATGTTCTAGGTATCCTGGTACCCTGTATGCAGCAGGCAATGGTGTAAAACACCAGCAAGTTGCAATAGCATCTTTAAAAGATTAATAGACCTGAATGTTTATAGCTCAAGATTTATATTCAAAGAGCAATACACTGGATTCGTGTTTGTAAGCACAGACTGCACTCTCTCTGAAAGAGCAGGCATGCAGTTTGGAGTGCTCATTGACCAGACTTTGTCACTCAATGCTCAGGTGGCCTCAGTGGCTAGGAGCGCAACTGGTACAGAATGCAGCAGCTAGGTTGTTGACTGAGGTACAATAAGGCCAGAACTTACCCGGGGGTTACAATCTGGGGATTATACCTAAAGCCAGAATTGTGGATAGTCAGAACACATTGGGTTCAATGGCAGGTGAGATTGGCAAAGTCATTTTTATCAGAACCCCCTCTCTTTTATTTGCCATGCATGTAAAGCTGAATGCACAGAAGTTAAATATATGTATGTTGCAGGCTTACTGTATCCCACCAACACCATATAACACCTCTCCTAAGCGAGCTGCACAGGCTGCCAATATTCTACCAGAAACAGTTCAAGGTATTGCTTTTAGCATTTAAAATCCAAAGCAACTTGAGACCAGGTAACCGAAGGGAACAATCCTCCCCATATACCCATGCCTGGCAACTGTGCCACTCAGATGGGTAGCAAGAATACTGTGCCACTCCAGCTGAAATTAGACACCCAGAATCATGTTTAGATGCCTATAGACTTTCCCCGAGGTGTGACAAAATGATTTATGGAACAGTAATTGTAGCAATAGCTTTTACAATTTGTAGTTTATTCTTTTCTTGTACACTGCTTTAATGGCCTCAGGCTGTGAAAGAATTTACACATTTGTAAAACAATAAGCACATTTCAGCAGTACTTTGCCCAGATACATATTTCTGATATGGGTGTCAGTACTGTACTTGGGAAGTGTTGAACGATTTTACCTGTCTCTGGATTCTCAGAATTGGGAAATATTGGTTTTTATGAGACAAAACGTAATATTCCAAAGTAAAACAAATATAGAATACAATGGATGTTAAGTTTACTTACGATGCCAACAGCATGGCAGCAGTTCCCAGAAGTTGAAGTTTCCCTCTTAGCACTGACATTGAAGACAGAAACCTGTCAATGTAGTTTACCGCCAAGTGCAAAGTTTCATTTTGGAGCTTGTACTCTTCGCCAACCTCCACTAGCCAGTCCACAAGAATAGCCCGCATATTGTTTGTGATGTCTGGCTGCTTCTTCATGTAACCTGCTTTGGGCTTGCATTTCACCTATAAAGAGGACATTGTTAATTACTTTCTGCCACTTTTTGAAGCGCTTTGGGCTGCTATGAAATTTGATTTTCTGCTGGGAGACTGCAGGCCAGCTTTACAACTCTGGGTTGGGGGAGTCATCAGGTCGCCACTTTTGTCCCAGTTTAAGATTTTGAAAAACAAGAAACCTATATTTTAAATTCACTTGCTCACAATTGATGGGGAGCCATCTGTGTGAGCAGACAACAAATTGAAAGAGGACAGTTATCCTGTTTGGATACATTGGTTCAGAGCTCCTTTTGATATTAAAAAAGTGGTCAGACCTATTTGCTATTAGATGCAAGTTTCCAAGAAATATGCTACCCAAGTAGCCTGGAGAGTCAACACATTGTGTTGTAAATCAAACTGGAACAAATATGCCTCCTATCTGAATTAGCACTTCTACTTGTGCTCACAACTGATCTAGTTCCTTGCCAAGTTCATGCCAGCATGGTTTTATGACTGCAAGCCTCAATTTTTCCTTTCTACAATCAAGAGAGCTAACCAAAAGAGGTAAATGTTAACACTCACAATAGTAGCTATCCCTTCTCCACTTAACTGACCCCCACCACCCACCAGTTTTTTATACAGCATCTAAGTCAATTGTCTGCAATTGCGATCACACCAGACAAGTGGCAAATTGCAAAGATAGCTGCATGTGACAGGGCATACAAGCCAGAATTGTATTGCATAGGGGGACTTGACATTCTTTGACCCAGTATGTATTTGTATGCATTTTACAAGGGAACCCAGCAGAAAATCGACAGCCAAACCCTTCATATGAATATACCAAGATAATGTCTGTGCAGTTAAAAGGGACCCAAACTCAATTAGGTAGAATTCCTCCCTCCAAAAATAAAATGTCTAAGCTGTATTCTCACCTCCATTTCCCTAAGATACTTATAGATATCTTCAATGTAGTCTGGTACGTGGTTAACATTAATTCTCTGTTCCGTTTCTTGGACTATTGACATATCCATAATACTTGGAGATCCTAAAATGCAAAATATGTAAAGCAATATGTAAAACAATTTTCATTCTTATGAAGCAACATCTTAAGTTCAACAGTGAATGCTATAAAGCAGGCACATCCAACTCCCAAGAGACTGCGATCTACTCCCACCATAAAAAACTGGCAGTGATCTACCCATTGGATTGATCCTTTTGGGGGGGGATTGATCGTTGAGGTTTTTTGGGGAGGTTGGTTGGTTTTGGGTAATCAATCAGGATCGCGCAATTGACCAGAGACATCCTGTGATCGACCAGTAGATCCCGATCGGCCAGTTGGACATGCCTGTTATAAAGCAACTAAAGGTTTAGTTCTTTCAAGTCCAGAGTAGTCCTTGCTTGTGTACTGTAGTTTAATGCTTTAATAAATTAACCTGCCAACAGTTAAGAGTAACTGTTTCCTTTAAAAAAAAAACAACCAGCAGGTATAGCTGGGTCAGCAAGGCACGAGACTTTGCATCTCAGGGTTGTGTTTGAGCCCCACATTAGGCAAAAAGATTCCTGAATTGTAGGTGGTTGGAGTCTCGTGGCCCCTTCCAGGTCTATGATTCTATGCCCTTAGTAGCAAATGTAACCATTTTCCACTACTCCTTTACTCCGGAAGACTAATCTGTGTTGGGACACCTGGACTGCACCCCCATATGACTAAAAGCCAGGATTTCTTTAAACTTTGGGCTGGGACCCTGAAGTATGCAAACCTATTCTTACCCTCACCGAAGCTCAGATCCATTGGGTTATCTATAGGTGTCAGAGGTTTCCTGATTCCCATTGAAGCGACTGCCGTCTTCAAGCCTAGGGCCTCTTCACTTGAAGACATCCTTTTCGACATCATACGTTTTTTCTGCCTGGTGACATCAGGCTCATCCATATGGATGGTAAAAGCGGGCTGCTTAGTTCCCATTTTGCCCAAGGGAACATCGAGGCAGTTTTCATCATTGGTACTCCATGGAATTTGGCTGAGGGAAGCCTATAACACGAAGTTCACTGTTAGCAATCAAGCACCCAATACCTGACAATGGCCTTTGAAAACTTTTCCACTGGCCAAAACTCATTTTTCTTTTTTTAATATAAAAGCCTGGGCAGTGCAGCAGTTCAAGTATGAGAGACGGGGCTCCCCAGGTTCAACAGGAAGGCAGAAAACAGTGCAGTCACTATTTCCCAACCTCACAGGAGAGAAGCGAAGGTTGAGTACCCTTGACCTCCTTGGGGAAAGCGTGGGATATACCTATATCGTGAACCAAGATGCCCTGCGGGTGTGTCCCCATGATGAGAGGCCACGCTGCGGCTACACGTCGCGGCCGCCTCGGAACGAAGCGGGAGGCGATGCTCGCATACAACGTGCACCAAAACCATCGGCGAGGGCAGGGCGGCCAGAGGCGCGCCGCCCAAGTTGGCGCCCTCCCTCCGGGCGCCCTTTCTGGGACCCGCCCGCGGGGAGCGCCCCCTGCAGCCTCGAGGGCCGACCGGGCGGCCTCCTCTCCCGCCACTGAGCCCCGAAAGCTCTCGCTTGCAAGAGCAGCAGCGGCAGCAAGGTGGGCGCCCGGAGGTTGGGGTGGGGGACATCCCGCCCCTCTCTCCCCCCACCCCCAATGCAAGGAGCCTCTCCGCCGCCTCCTTCTCCTTTCTGCCCCGAGCTCTAAGATGGCGGATGCGGGGTCTGGGGCAGCTCCGACCGGCCCAGGGGCGCGGGAAACGGCTCCCCTTCCCCTCCGGCCCTTCACCTGCGGCTGGGCGAGGGGCTCCCGGTTGCCCCGCAGCAGTCCCAGAGCGACCCGCGTTCCCAGCGCAGCGCCCGCCAGCCGAGGGTCGCCCTTGGCTCCCGGAGGCACGTTCTCCTGGTTCTCCCGAGCCAGGGAGGCGGCGGCGGCGGCGGCTCCCGTCAGCATGGCGATAAGCGCGGCGGCGGCGACTGCAGAACCGGGGAGCCTCGAGCCGAGCTGCTCTGAACGGACCCTCGCTCGGCGGCTTAGCTCTCGTTCTCTTTCGGGCCCGCTCCGCTTTCGCCGTTCAAGTAGCCCGCGACGATTGAATCCGCCAATGGCGAAGCGGCTGCCCTCGACGTCACGCCGCGGCACGGAAGCTGGCGAGGGTCAAACAGCCGCAAGACGCGCCCGGAGGCGGGGCTTGGAAGCTCCGCCCGCGGAGATGCGGCTGCGGCGGCTGCTGCTGTTGCTTATCGGCAGGACGGGGCGTTCAGGGGGCGAATAAGGACACCTTCGAGCTTTAGGTTTAATTCGTACGCAGAGGATTCTGCGAAGGGTCACAACTCTCTCGTCTCGACGCCCCTGGTTTTAAATGTCCTCGCGTTAGATCTCTGCCTGGAAACTTGGGAGGGCGGGAACAGCACAAAACGCCTCGGTACAAGACACACGGCCATATTTATTTATTCTCTATTTATTTATTCATGCTTAATCAAGAACTTGTGGTTGAGATCGCTTTTCCGCATTCGCCATACCTTTAGACTGAGAGCACAGACCGTCTCTGAAGAGGAAGCCTGCAGTTTACGCGGAGTTATGTTCCACCGGTCGCAGCTAAAACCAAAATCGCGCAAAATAAAATCCCACTAGGTTTAATGTAACTTTTTTTTTTGCCACGCACAAAAATCATGTGCGGAAATTGTGGGCTTACTGTACTGATTTATGTCAGTCACTCAGAGCCTTGCCGGCTAAAAGCTGGGGTGTAAATGTGGCTAAATAAAAGTAAGTACTGTATATTGAGTTCAGGAGGATTTAATCCACAGGTTAAACCACAGAGCCTAGGACTTGCCGATCAGAAGGTCAGCGGTTCGAATCCCCACAACGGGGTGAGCGCCCGTTGCTTGGTCCCTGCTCCAACCAACCTAGCAGTTCGGGGGGTTTTTTGTTTGTTTTTTGCAATACAGTGATACCTCGGGTTACATATGCTTCAGGTTACAGACACTTCAGGTTACAGACTCCGCTAACCCAGAAATAATACCTCAGGTTAAGAACTTTGCTTCAGGATGAGAACAGAAATTGTGCTCTGGCAGCGCGGCAGCAGCAGGAGGCCCCATTAGCTAAAGTGCTTCAGGTTAAGAACAGTTTCAGGTTAAGAACGGACCTCCGGAACGAATTACGTACTTAACCTGAGGTACCACTGTATGTCTTTATTGTTTTAAAATAGATACATTTGTGCCAGGAAAGCCAACGAACCAACCAACAAACATACAATCAAATATGGGGGGGAAAGTTAGTTTCCAGGTGGAAAAATCAAAATTGGAAACAGAATTGTTAGACTCCAAAATTAAGAATTTGTCAAAAATGTATAACTTGCTGTTGAAATGGAATACTCAGGATGAAACGGTGAAATCAGCAATGATTAAATGGGCACAAGATGTTGGACATAACATAATGATGGCTGACTGGGAACAGTTATGGACCACAGGTATGAAATTTACGGCATGTAATGCCCTAAGAGAAAACTTAATGAAAATGATTTATAGGTGGTACATGACACCAGTCAAGCTTGCAAAAATCTACCATTTGCCCGATAATAAATGTTGGAAATGTAACAAGACTGAAGGCACATTCTTTCACCTTTGGTGGACATGCCCAAGGATTAAGACATTCTGGGAGATGATTTATAACGAAATGAAAAAGGTATTTAAATATACCTTTCTGAAGAAACCAGAGGCCTTTCTCCTGGGCATGGTCGGCCAATTGGTGCCAAAGAAGGATAGAACTTTTTTTATGTATGCTACAACAGCAGCAAGAATATTCATCGCGAAGTATTGGAAGACACAAGATTTACCCACCCGGGAAGAATGGCAGATGAAGTTGATGGACTATATGGAATTGGCGGAAATGTCTGGCAGAATCCGAGATCAGGGAGAAGAGTCGGCGGAAGAAGATTGGAAAAAATTTTAAGATTATTTACAGAAATATTGTAAAATTAATGAATGTTAGAAAAATGTTGAAATGAAGTTACATGGCTTTAGTAGAAATGTTATAAGGAATTAAGTATAAATAGATTAATAGAGTATTAAAGGAAAAAATAAGGTTAGAATGAGTTAAGATAATTACAGGATAGAAAACAGAGGTAGATGGAAAGGAATTGCTGAAATAATTAACAGAAGTGGAATACAAAAAGGGAGGTGTGAGGAGGTCGAGGAAATAAGTGAATGAAAGATGGGATAACGAAATTTGATTTATTGTTGTTGCATTGTTTTGTTGGTTTAATGTATTGTATTGTATGTGTTTTTTCTTTTCTTTTAGTGTTTAAAATTTTTGGAAAAGTAATAAATATTATTTTAAAAAAAACAAACAAACATACAATCAAATAAACAAACTATAAATTGACAGACAGACAATAACAATATATGAAACAACACAATTCTTATAACTAACATCATTTGTACTCCCAATGATGTGAATGATTGTAAAACAAGAAATTAAAAATGACTTTCAATTATTCTCGCTGTACTTTATCTGTTGATTATCTTATACTGCACAGTTACATCCAACCTAGCAGTTCGAAAGTACATCCAAGTGCAAGTAGATAAATAGGTACCGCTCCAGCAGGAAGGTAAACCGCGTTTCCGTGCGCTGCTCTGGTTCGCCAGAAGCGGCTTAGTCATGCTGGCCACATGACCCGGAAGCTGTATGCCATCTCCCTCGGCCAATAAAGCGAGATGAGCGCCGCAACCCCAGAGTCGGCCACAACTGGACCTAATGGTCAGGAGTCCCTTTACCTTTACCTCTAGGGAGCACAGAAACAAACTTTCACACGACCTTCCCTTTAGACCAGGCATCCCCAACCTTCGGCTCTCCAGATGTTTTAGACTATAATTCCCATCATCCCTGACCACTGGTCCTGTTAGCTAGGGATCATGGGAGTTGTAGGCCAAAACATCTGGAGGGCCACAGGTTGGGGATGCCTGCTTTAGATCCTTAGATGCAGTACCATTTCCTGCAATTTCGCTTGTGCATGAGCTAACACTAGAAAAAGTGTTTTGGGGTGGGCATTATTGGATGGTTGTTTTTATTTGATTATATATAATTGTGGTTTTTATGTTGATCATTACTGTGACCTTCAGGTATAGGGTGGTATATAAATTCTAATAATAATAATAAAATAAAGAGAATGCTCTGCTGTTAATTGCAACAGGAGCCCTTTCCCCGTTATTAAGATTAAGGGTAGCCTAGATGCAGGTGGCATCCAAAACACGCTACCACCCATGCAAGTACAACAGGGGATTGAAAATATTTCCTTCTGTCAGCAACAATTCATGGCTTGCAGGTCTGGGCAGCCCTGGAGGGAACTTGGGAGGGTGGGGAGCTGCTAATACAAAGGTGACTAAAAAACTGCTATGACGCGTGGTATATGCAGGGAACTACTGGGATTCCAGCCATTTTATGTTGTATACAAAGGAAGGGATCAGGAATCAGAGGCTGTGCTTGCAACAGGTTTGGCCCCTAGTTCCCTATGCCAAAAATAGATGCTGGTTTTGGATCAGTGAAACCATCTGGGGAAGCTATGAAAATTACTGGGTGAACTCAGAGAAGTCAATCTTATTACCAAACTGGTAAAAGATAATCAAATATATTATCCTTGTATATATGTCCTTAAGTGCCTTGGAATAAAAGTGTTAACGGAGGAATCTGAGGGCTCCTTTGGGCAAAAAAACAAAGACACCAACCAGGACAATTGGGAGCAAAACAGCAGCCTGTAGGCTTGGCCTTTATTGGAAACTGTCGCAACAGGACTCCCACCCACAACAAGATGAAGCAAAATGAAAGCCCCGAACAAAAGTAGACCCCAACTTTTATTAGTTACTAATCCCCCAAACTACACCCCTAAGACTACATCACAAAAAGGAGGGGTTGAGGGAGGAGTTGTGGAGGTAACCTGAGTATCTTGTCACCTGGCTGGTTCCTCCTTTCCCCCCTCCCCATGAGTACTTTCCAGGTGACAAAGGGGAGTTTGCAGTTTCCTGCCCCCAGAGGGAAGAGCTGATCATTGTCCTTTGTTCCAGTCCGTGCTGAATCCACTCCTATATGCAAGTTCTTTGTGACCTTGATGGTCTTCTGTCTAGGACCATCAGGGTTGGCATAGCAACTGGGCAGGGCTCCTGTGTATGTGCTGGTATGCTCAAGGGATTATGGCTGCCCTGTATCAAACCTTCCCCATTTTGTAGTCCTTCCTTCATGGAGTAGAATAAAAGTGGAACGGTGCAGATCCAATGTATGGTTGATTTTCTATGAATTTATAACAGAAGCGTAGCGTATGTAGTGTGTTTGTGTGTGTGTGTCAAGTTTGTACAAACTGAATGATTGGGGGGAGGGGGGTTTCCTGCGACAGTTCCCCCCTTTGGAGATAAGATTGCAAAGGTGGCTACTGTGCAATCCTTTTCTCCGCACAATTTAAAGTGCTAATTATTAACCTCCTATCCACCCTCCCAGATGTGTGGGTCCATGTGAACCTGAAAGGGACTTGCATGTCACGCCTCTTAAGGATATTTGCAAGTGTAGCAGTGCACATAGCTAGTCATAGGATATCACGTAAAAATAACACATGTTGCATTTTGTTACTCAATTACTTGTGGTATTCTAGCACCTTGGGAGAAACATTTTCTCAATAGTGGTCTATGCTTTTCACTTAGCAGGAAGGTCCAATATCGATTGAAAATGTACTGTCTTTTTTGCTCTATAAGACTCACTTTTTCCCTCCTAAAAAGTAAGGGGAAATGTGTGTGCTTCTTATGGAGCGAATGCAGGCTGCGCAGTTATCCCAGAAGCCAGAACAGCAAGATGGATCGCTGCTTTCACTGCACAGCGATCCTTCTTGTTGTTCTGGCTTCTGAGATTCAGAATTTTTTTCTTGTTTTCCTCCTCCAAAAACTAGGTGCGTTTTATGGTCTGGTGCATCTTATAGAGCAAAAAATACGGTAGTTTGATTTGTCCTCCACCTTTTTTGTGTGTGTTCTCAGGTGTCAAGCTAGCTCTCCTCTGGTCTCCCACCGCCATAGTGCTACAGCAGCAACAATCCCTGGTGAATCCC